GGAATCGATATCTTTATGTAAAACATGGTAAGTGATGGGTGTTGTGGAAATTGATATCGGATTTTCTATAGGTGTTGTTTTCGGCCATTCAATGCTAATATCGGTAAAATCTGATGGAATGTAGAGTGAAGGATAACGTTTACGCAGTTGCATCACAGTTTGCCTCGTTCCATTTCTTCATTGTTAAACATATTCTTCGTATGATAGCTCAGAACAAAAAAAAAAAAAAAAAAAGAAAAAAATTTTAAAAATCAGAGTACAAAATTAAAGTCTAAAATTTTATTAAATATATCATTACTAGAGCAGAGAAGTGGAAGATTTGCAAAATAAACCTACAAGATTGGTGGTTTCGGAATATAACACTGATAGCGTGGTATGATCCGAGTACGTCGACGGGGAGGTGACAGACTATCGTGAGTACTTGGATCATGCTTTTGTGAAGGAGATCGATTACGACCCGAAATACTGGCTGAATGTTCTCGTTTCCCTTCATGTTTTCGTGCTGGTGTTAAATGTTTTGGAGATGTACGACCCACTGGACCCTTCGAATAGTCACGAGGTGGGCTTCTAAAAGAAACATCATTGAGTTCAGAAATTCAATCTTAAGCGCAAAATCAAAAAATTATGACTTTGCAATGCTTTCAGTCGAATTTTCAGCAATATGCGTCTGAATAACGACTAATCAGTTATTCTACTTTCGACGATTCAATTCGGATACCAAAAGAATATAAGCACTATTGTCTTTTATGATCGACAAAAATTCTTGCTTTTAATAGAAATCCTGATCAAATTTCCGAATTATATTCAGATGCAAAGTTCTGTGAATTTGACGGAATGATTATACTATTCTCAAACTAAAAAAACAAAACCTTCGAGGTGTTCGTCGTGTAAGAACTCGAGGTGGTGAAATACGTCTCGATGGGCTCATACGCCTCATGTCCTGCACCAGTGCCGGTGGACCACATGGAGCACCTCGAGGAGAACGATGTCGGATCGCTCCAAGCGGTGAACGAGAACGGGGAGCTACAAATAGCGAATTTTACTTTCATAAATATAACGATAGAATATTTTTAAAAAATCGTTTTAACGATGTAAATTGACTATGCACAATACAAATATATTTTACTAAGATTTGAGATAGGAAAACTTAAACTTCAAACTCAAAGGATCCTAAGTAACTGAAGTTAAAAACCTTTTCAACAAATTTAATAGTAGATTTAAAAAATTACATGCACGGAAATCACGTGAACGAGAGTCATTTATATGAGTAATGGTTTGTGGCTTTTCAAGAGTTTTTCCAGTCCAACTTTGTTCACCGGGTATCATCCCACGGCCTGACATGGGTTGTCGGCCGCGTTCCGGAGGTGTATGAGTCGCTGGTCCACCGCCACCTGGACCACTTTTATCGCCAATTAACTGGACTCGATATGCATTCCATTTGAACGGCATAGTCGGATTATATGATGCTTCTACCATAACTCGATCACCTGTTCGTGGTAAGGCACCGCGAACATTACTAAAAATTTGATTGTAATATCGGAAATTCTTAGTCAATATTAAGATAAATTTTTTGGAAACAGAAACGAAGAATTCATTGCCAACTTCCTCCTTTTACCGAAAACAACTTCAAGGTACATATGAAAATGATACAGATAAGAAATAATGAAAAGTTTCAATGGCACGAAAAAAAATATTAGTCACGCATACCTCACTTGAAAGAAGACATCGTCATCGATAAATCCATAATTGTCATGCATTTTTGTAACCACACCCGAAAATGTACGGTTTTTTTGCTGAAAATTCTGCACTACCGCAATAATATGCAATTAATAAGAATATGCTGCATTCTCCTCAATCATTTATATGACTGCATAAGTTAGCTGGTTTATTCATACATAAGATCTATGTAGTTTGAAAAATGAAAAACAGGAAAGAGCACTACTAGTAACCATCATCTAATGTTTTATATATTCATTAGCAGTGTTGTCGGTAGATTCAATAATCAATCTTAGTCGGTGAACATTAGACAGTGTCTTTTCAGCATGCTTGAAAATTTTTTTTGTCAAGCCTTAATAATCGCATGTATAATTACAACCTACATTTCCATTAATGTTATGGAAGGAACTAAAAATTTCATAGTAATAAATGGAACTAAAAATTTCATAGTAATAAATTTCATAGTAATAAAGGCTCAAATTTTTAAATTTGCGTTTTGTTTAAATGATACAGTGATGAAAAACGCCAAGTACCTCATTTTTTCTTAAGATATTTACCAAAGAATTAAAATTTTTTAATATAGCGAATCTGTAGACATGCATCCAAAATTATGGACGCATTTCAGAATATAGATTAATAATGTTTATGCGTTACTCATAAGAGATAAAACAGCCAATTACATAAATTTCAGGAATTTTAGGCACCCAATTTTATGGCCTGCAAAATAATAAGATAGTACGATATAGAAAATCTGGATGTAATTATAAAATATCAACGAAATCAAAATTCTAAATACCTGCTGCTGAGCTTGCATTCGAATTGTTTGTGATGGCGTTTGAAGCATACCCAGATTCATGCCCATATTACCCACTGCTTGCTGAGAGAAAGCGGCAGCATTGATCATACCCATCTGTGCAAATGGCTGTGCACCAATCAGTGGATTCTGGAATAATCCAGCGTTGAGCTGCTGATTTGCTCCTGGAATGATTTAACCAATAGTTATAATCGATTATTAATTCTGAACTTGAAAATTCACACTTCAGATCAGAACTTTTTAAAAAAAGACCAATCATTAAATCATTTATTTAATTTCCGAATAGTTTAACACACTAAATTTCATTACCATTCAAAATTAGATTTCATAGTCAAGAAATTTGCTTTCACAAACTAAACTGCAATGGATTATTTATTTTTTTTTTGTTACTATAAAAAGTTATTTAAAATCTTCACACAAAATTAATTTTTATTTATAAATTCATATATTTATATTCATATACCATACTTCACAATTAGTTTCAAATATCTTCATTTTCTCCTTAAATTTCAGCGAATGTTTCAAAAATTAAATTTTTAATGTCATATAATTCAATTGCCATCATGATAAGATACTTTTGAAAAGATAATTAAGCAATTCTATGAATTAGAATTCTATACTAATGTAGTATGGTCACTGCTATTTATAAATACGCAAAATATACATGTTTTATACAAAAAGTAGTCAATAAGTAAATGATGTCACGAAGAATGAAACAAAAATTTCATTGCAGATAACATTTCCAGATGCGGAAAAAAAGTGTCAGGTGTAGTTTTGTTGACATTGCATTCAATACCTATCAGACAAGTTATGAATTCCCTTGTAGCAAAAGTTGGATCATAATAAAGTCAAATTAAAGTACAAAACAAAAGTTACCAGGTGGTCGAGCCCAAGCAGCTGGATTCTTCGGGCCAAACTGTGACATTACGATTGTGTCGCCTTCAGATTAAGCGCGTTATCTCTTAAATTTCAAGAATTGCAACTCGTCCCAGATACTAAAACTTTGATCAATAAAATAAGATGAAATTTCGAACAAACAGAACAGTGAGTATAATTTGTTAGCCTAATTTGTCACTTTAAAATCATGTGTATGACGCTCCAGAAAATTCATATATTACGAATAACTTATCTAATTGTTAGCGCTGTATAACCAAAGTCAAAATTTATTGAATACAGGAAGACAATTCCGACAGACAAATTCTCCAATGATCAATATGCTAATCAATAATTGCCACAAATATAAGTCAGTGTCACACTTATTAACAGTTAAAACAAAGCGCGAACAATATCACAGAAATGTGAAATGATCGCTACCGTAGGACAAACGAAGGGCTATATTACAAAGCAACTCAAAGAATAAATTAAAAACCGATGTTGAAAGGGAAGGATGGATGCTGCAGTGGGCATTAAGAAGCAGAAATAAGCCAAATAATGCACGATGGTCGAAAGTCCTCCCATACCAACTAGCAGTGCTTGAACTATGACCCCAACGCAACCATTCAAACAAAACATCCGCCCGATCAATTCCCGCCTCCCCTCCCTCACTTCCAATGCCACCATAACCAGAAGTGTATACTCGACCACATGCGACTCATGCTTGTTCGCCACAGGGAGAAAGTTCGTCCTCTCCCATTCCTATTCTTCTAGAATCTAATCGTGAAAAAATGTGCAATATTCGGATATAAAGAGACATAGTGCAACCGATTTCGAATCAACGATTAGTCCAGTTTAGATTTGCAGGTCTTTTCAATCTAGAGCACCTGGTAATGATTACTCTCGTTCGACCTAATTCGACAGTATTTTTATTCCTTGCATTGAACCTAGTTAGTTGCATATCTGCTGAATAAATTGAATTGGATGGTCAATTACCGAATTATTCAAAAATTGAATATCAAGACAGTTATTTTGTTCTTAATCCACTTATCGTAAAATTGAGAACTTACGAATGGGTAGAGCAAAGGACTGAAAATCCTTGTGTCGCTGGTTCGAATTCCTGCTCAGGCCACTTTCTCTTTCTTACCAGAACGAGAAAGGGAGAGTTAAATGAAGGAAATTTCATATTTTCAATCTAAATTTTAGAAATCTGTGAGATTGCGGATAAAGTCGTATCGTTCTTAAACTTATTGAAATTAGACTATAAATATTCCGACTAAAAATTCGTCTCATGAAGAAAATCAAGTATTTCGTTGAATTGCACAGTCAGTGATAGTTGCATTTTCAGAATGATAACTTAGCTCTACATACCAGCACTCTCGGAAAGATAATTTATCAATATTATCAAAACTGAATTATAGAAAGGACTGCCCGTTAAGCTACCAGGCATCATTTTTATTTCTCTGATGTTGAAAATTTCAAAATGGCAATCAATTTTTGAATATTTACAATCTTTTAAAGTCTTGAAAATAATGAGCAGTCGCGAGCAATTCCGAATCTATTCGAAAATCTGAGCTCCTTCAACAGTCAAGCATGCTGATCCAAGACGGATTCGAACCGTCGGCCTTCTGCGTGTAAAGCAGACGTGATAACCACTACACCACTGGACCGCACTGAACAGTGCCTTTACTTATTATATAAGTGACCTACAAGCGATTTAAGGAAAGTTATGCGCAAGAGGTGAAAGATCAAAGACTTATTGCAGACCGTTATTTTCATTCTGCTAATTGAGAATGTGATGAGAAGCTGGAAGAGAGCTGACCTTTTTGTCATCATTCTGTTTGTCTTCGTATGTCTATAACTTCACCTCTTCCAGACTTCTATGCAAATATGTTGTGAATGAAAACCATATCTCTCATTTTTTTTCTATTTCTCTGCCTCAGCGAGATTAACTATTTTTAATTTATGACAGTTATCTGGAACTGTTTCCCTTTTTACTCTCTTCGAATCTTCCATATTTCTCTCTCATACTACTCTGGTATCTAGTTTGGTGCGTCATAGATGTTTCGACGGTCGACGATAATTTTGAAGAGATTTGTGAAACGTGTCATGAAACGGACGGAGGGGCATCATCTTGGGCTTCCCTGTCACCTCAGATACGTATCACTGTATCGATTAAGTACCATTACCTCAAGTTTCTTCTCAATGTATTTATCGAGCTTTCTTCTCATGCATTTCGTAAACTGGTTCTATGGAAACAGCAATTTAATTTCAGATGTTGAAGTTGCTGAGAAAAGCGGCAGCAATACGGGTGACTTCTTTACTTTCTACTGTCAAAACTTTGTACTGTCCAGGTAACTTTGCTTTTGTCACTTATTGGTCCTGTCGCTTCTGTCACTTGCTGATTTTGTCGCTTTTGTTACTTATTGATTTCATATCATTCTGTTGGTAAATATTGAAATGTTTCGACCATTTCACGGTGCAAACTCTGACATTCTTTACTCCATAATTCTCACTTTCTCTATTTTCCAGATCGGTGCAATGCTCATCATGCAGCTATTTCTCGAATAAAGCGTGCCAAATATGTTCGACAATACTACGTAACTGTAAAATTTTTATTAAGCACTAAAAATTGCTACTTACATCATTGACTTAGTGATAGTATAGTAAGTGGCAGTATGGTCATTTATGACTTCTCAAACTTGTTTATTCAGCTGCTCCATCCAGATGGATCAACAGTCCAGATACGAGCTGCGGAACCCATGGATTTGATTCAGATGCCTTTTAACATGGATACTTTAACAGATGAAGAACGTAGACACTTGGAAATGAAGCGACATAAACTTAAAAAATTCACGGTAAGCTGAGCAGCAAAATTTGAGAAATTTTTGATTTTATTTTCAGTTTTGGAAGTCAGCGGTACTGTTATACTTTTTTTTACAAATTTTTCATATCAGTGTTTTGAATTCGAGAATTGGAAAATACTCGAAAAGATTGATGGACTGAAACATATTGATCATAGGAACCTTGTCAATTTTTTTTTCTTTTTTGCAATCTCCAAATAAAATTTTTGTGTAAAAATCTTTTTTTTTTTCACTGAATTCATTTTCCGGATTATATTATTAATACTAAGCACTGAATTTCCAGAAGAAGCAGGAAACTGTGAAATTTAATGCTGACGAATACATTGATTTATGGCGGAAGAGCTCAAAAAATCGTAAGTAGCACACAATACTTTGATGTTGGTAAAATCGCTAGATGTTGATAAAATCAGGAAAATTTGCCTTTTTTGTTAGTAGCATGTATTAAAGTGACACTTAAAAAATGACGCGTAAACTTGTGCTTTTGATAGCGTTTATAGATACTCAAAATCAATATAGCTCTTCAACTTCTCATTCCCTTGAAGACTGAAAGTTTGGTTTTGTATGTTGTGAATACGAATATTTTATCTTTAGATTTGAAAAAATTTTTTCAAAAAAAAGTGTCAAGTTATATCTTATAAATCTGTTGATTGTTGGTTTCAGATCTTATACTATGTCCCCTTTTCCAAAATATTTATTTGTTATAAATATTTATTTACAATTGCTGTCATTCGTATTATTTGCTTATTATTGCTATTTGTAAATAAAAATTTTTGTGAATTTCAGAGAAACATTTTTTTTTCTTAGTTTCGCTCATAAATATTCTGACGAGAGAATTGCTCTTATCACTTTTTTATATCTTTATATATTTTCGGATCTTTTCAAAAGTTTGTATCTTCTAATTCATTTTATATTTATTTTTGTTTATAGAAAATGGTAGAAATTTCTTTGATCTCTGTCATTGCTTTTGGATCGTTTTTTTTTTTTTTTTTTAGTTTCATGGATAGTTATAAACTGAACGACTGCATTCTTTAAAAATTGCTTTAAATTCTGGATTTCATCGTCTTTTTTTGAGTGTAAATTTCTTGTAAGTTTTTATAAAGTACTGTCATATCTTCTCTGCTTATCTGTAAGTCGAAGTTTTTTAATTTTACTGCCTTATTTCAAGCAAAAATGAATAAGACAATTGTGTTGGACCATTTGTTCTTATGAAGTTACAACCAAATCATGCATATTTTTATCACTTTGGCCGAAGATTTGTCTGCCGAATGGAAGTTTCCTTTTTATAAATTGCGTTTTGGAAAGTGATCTATTCATTCAAAGTTTTCTCAAAATTAGTTTACGAAAATAATGAATTGATACCCGTAATTTTTTTCAAATAGTTTATACCATTTCGCATTTCTATTTCTTTTCATTCTGGAAAACGCTTCGTATGTTGATAAAAGCTAATTGTTTTTTAGAATTTTGTCGTTATTTCCCTGCTCTTTTAAACACGAATTCTATATTATTTAAATGCTATAGGGAAATTTAGATGAATGTTCTGGACAAGAGGACATTAACGATTCTTAAAAAGGCTATTAGGAGATATTAATTGAAGGTGAAACAAGAAAAGACAGTTATCTTGTCAGAAATTTAAAAGTATTTTGCTTCTTTAATAATTACGTGTTATTTCCTGATAATTTCAAGTTTTTACAGAATTTTCTCGGATGGTGTAACGACAAATACTAATAACCGGGAGTTTTAGGAAAAGATTTTTCAATTTTTACAGAACTTTCTTCGTGTGAGTATAGCTATGTCAGGATGCAATTAACTTATTTAAAGTTTTTGGAATATTATTCAACATTTAGTTGCGGCAAAATTCACGAATGTCGCAAGATGGAATTCCTCCGAAATATACAATTCTATTACCAACATACAATGAAAAGGAGAATTTACCAGTGTGTGTTTGGCTGATCGAAAAATATATGAGAAAAGCTGAATTTTCTTATGAGGTATTTTTTTTTTCGTTAATTTTGCGAGAAATTTAGTATACTTCTGGAAAACATGTATAAGTTTTTAGAAGATTTTTCTGCAAGTTTAGAATGTTTTACAATTTTCTTAAGATTGTACAAATTTAAGATGATTGATTTTTAAAGGTGATTATCATTGACGACAACAGTCCAGATGGAACAATGGATGTGGCTGAGAAGCTAGAAAATGAATTTGGCAGCGATAAAATTATTTTAAAGCCTAGAGCAGGAAAGTTAGGTATGTTTTGATTTGTTTTCATAGTACGTATCAATTATTTGATATTTAATAAAGTTATTTTCAAATATTTATATTTTAGAAGTCCAGAAATGAAAAATTGGTTGGAACGTTTTAGTTTTATAATGTTTAGTAAAGTGTGCCTTCTCAATTTGTAGGTCTTGGAACTGCTTATACTCACGGATTGCAATTTGCTCGAGGTGATTATGTCATTCTGATGGATGCCGACCTATCACATCATCCAAAGTTTATTCCTGAAATGATCAAATTGCAGCAAAATAAAAACGTTGGTTTTAGCTTTTCCACCGTTATTAAAATTTATCCAAATATCTCTGCTCAAGTTACAGTGTTTGTGGCAGATCTCAGAAGTAAATTTCTAGTTTTATAAAAAAATCGAACAAAAGGAAGATATGTGCAAATTTGTATGAACTTTATATGAGCTTTATCACACAATGAATATCGTTAGATCAATCATTGACTTCGCTTAAGCTAATATGATTCTGGATGCTAAATTGAGTTTTTCTCGTTATCAAATTCTAACTATGATAAATAATTATGCACTTTAACAGGAAATAAAAATTATGTTATGTAATTATCGAAAACTAGAAAAGTTTAACAAAAAATCAGTTGAAAAAAAAGTTTTTCTCAGGCTTCAAAAACTTTTCAAAACTTCGAACAATTTTACTTGATTTAATATTTCATAGAACTTTTTCTATTTTTTTCTATTTTTCGGCTGCTACAGTGCATGATTATTATATTTGCATCACTTAATGTTCTGACTTTATACAGATCATTCAGTGAAATATATTTGGTCACAATGTATGGCCTTACGTAGATCTGAGGAAAGAAATCAATAATGTCAACCGCTATACCGTTCTGTTAATCTGTTTCTTACCATCCTAATTATGATTGAGTATTATGGGTTAAAAAATCATCTATGGTGTGAAAGCTCATTGTTGAATGTATTTTCTAATTGCTTGTCAAGATGATTAAAAGTAATCTACAAAATTAAATGGAAAATCTTCTATAAATTTTTCCAACGCAATGTCATACTTTATCCTGTTATTTTCAGTATGATATTGTGACAGGCACACGTTATGCTCACGGTGGTGGTGTCTCGGGTTGGGATCTCAAACGAAAACTCGTCAGTCGTGGTGCTAACTTTTTAGCTCAGGTTCGTTTCTTAAATAGATTATGTAGATGTCAGTCATTTTTGCAGCAAAATAATGTTTCATTACTTTAGTTTTTGCTTCGACCCGGCGTTTCTGATTTAACTGGTTCTTTTCGTCTGTACCGCAAGGATGTTCTGGCAAGGTTAATTGCTGATAGCGTTTCAAAGGGATATGTGTTCCAAGTTAGTTTAAATTTCGCATTCACCAAGACGCAGAGCTTTTTAGACTACTCCTGAACAACAACTTCGAACTTTAAGCTGACTTTTTCTTAAAGTTTCAACATGGAAAAAAAATATGTCTCGACCAAGATTACTTCTTAGCAATAGTAACAATTTTCTCAGATGGAAATGATGTTTCGTGCGAGCAAATTGAACTATCGAATAGGAGAAGTGC